TAAAATTTTATATACCAAATACTGCAATTAAAAGTTGAATTCAAATTAATTAAAATTTATAAACACCAAAATCTTTTACTATTTTCAATATAGAAAAATTATATTTGTCTTATATCAAAGGATTTTATTTAATGCTCGCAAATAGAGTTTAATAAATTATGTTTTAAATTTTAATTAAAGTTTCCAGAGAACATCAAGACATTGAGTTTTACACACTAATAAGCACTGATTTCAACAAGGAAAATAATTTTAACAAATAAAAACTGGCATAGTACACAAATCAATATATCTTTTTTTTAAATTTTAAAATACAAAAAAATTTTCATAATTGGATATCATTATGTAATGCTAGCATATGTATATAGTTAGTTACACGTATAAATTATGTAATAAAATCCTCCGCTGCTTTAAGTGCCCGTTAAAATTAGGCTTGATATTTTCAAAAATATAGAAATAACGTAATTAAATACATTATATACTGTACTGTATATATTTGAATAAACTACTTGTTAGACATCTACTTTTTCTGAATTTGAAATGCTTCATATTCCCCTGCACAAAAGTAACCGCTACTGTGTCTAATTACTTTTTCATATGAATGATGTGTGCAACTACATCCATTATTTTGATCAAAATTACTATTAATCATCATAAGATCATATTGACCAAAAAGTGGTCCATAATTAGAATTACAACCAATTGCATATTGTGATTCTGAAGGTTTTACACGACTTAAAATAGAGGATTGAATAGTACCATTTTTCAATGAAAGATAAAGCTATCATTGCAGTTTATCCATTAACCACCTGGTCCTGGGTTATCCCATTTGGTTGGGTTGTATCCACCAAGAATTTCATCGGTTCCTTTAACCTTTATTACTACAACAGTGTTTGCTTGCTTGTCACATAAATTCCAAAATGATTGTGCAGTAAAACCATCTCTTGATCCACGAAGAAGCAGGTTATACTTATATGGACTATTCATTACAGAATACACTTTAGTTTTCTTATCAATCCATGACGCAATTTCTGCTGTATGATCTTCATTGATAACATTTGAAGGAATGGCTCGGTTCCTCTAGATGGTAATGTTGATGTTAAAATCTTACGGGGAGGAAGAATTGTTGATAATATTTGTCTATCTGGAGTGACAAATTTTTTGAGAATATCATCCCAAAGATCTTCTTCAAGAATATTTTTATATGGTTTTACTTTATCAAAAATACCATTATTTGATATTTGGAAATAACGGATAAAGGGCAAACAATTCTGTAAAGATGTTTTTATGGCTAGAAATTTTCATGAGACCAGTCTTTAGGATTGTATGGTGATCCACGTTTTAAACAATTCCCCATCTGATAATGTGTTCCCAAATTTTCTCTTCATCCATCTGTAAATCATCTCGCTTAAGTGAAATTATGCATTTTCCGGTAGAGAAGTGAAATCTTCTGATTCAAAAAGCCTATCTGGATACTTTGCAATAATATCATTGCTCCATTTTTGTAATTCTTGAAGTTTTTCATTTTGGAAAAGTTTACGATAAACGCAAGCAAAATTTAAACGAAGCCAGTGTGCATGTTCTTCAATTAATTGTGCTTCAAGATATTTCACTAGTTCATCAATAAGAAACTTGGAAGCGACAAGAATAAGTTCAAAAATAAATGCTGCGCCTTGATCATTTTCTATCAAAACCACTCCTCCATAAATATACCTTTATTAAGTTTGTAAATTTAGTTTTAGCAAATCCATAATATACAACTAAATAATCTCCATCTTAATAAATTCGTAAGATTAATCCTTTATTTAAATTCTAAAATTAAAATACAAAAACCTACTCATAAAACATAGATTTAGACTAATTTATAATATACATACTTAATAATTATTTCAAGTTGTTGAATAGAAATACGTTTCAAATTAATGGTTTTAATATTATCTTCACCTTTGTTAATATTTGCTAATTCATTACGAAAATACAAAGATCTATATCCTAAAATATTGAGTGTGCTTGAAATATCTTAGTATTTGGAAATTCTCCAACTTTAATTATTACATTAAAGTCCTCTTTGTTATCAAGAAGTTCAAGGCAATCATTTGAAAGCTTTTCGAAAAACTTGGCCATTGTTTGTTACACTATTTTAGCGTACGTATATTCTTACCAGTTACGTGAGTTTGGCCAATTAATCTAAGAATCAAGATTCCAAAATTTTATTACAAACCCCAATTTAGTAGCGAAAACGTAGCCTTAACCTAATAATGAGGTTTTGCAGCGAAAGATTAGTAACATTAGGCTCGTCCTATTAAAGATGGTAAATTTTTAGTCTATACAGAAATTTGCTTAATGTAATGCATATTAATTTAGCAAAACGGATTCTTGTTATTCTCAAAAAATATTAATACTAACCTATAAACCTAAACCAGCATAAACATGCACATTAAATTCATTTCTTCTCGGGTTTGTATAAACTTTAAATTCTTAGAAAAATCTTCGAAAGATCTTCAAAGAATTCGTAACAACCATTATTACCATCTGCAAATATAATTTAAAAAAATATTAATCTTTAATGGATTTCTTAACCTTCTTAACATCTCGTGTATTAATTGAAATTTATAACAACTTGCACTCACCTCTACCACGAGATGACGATTTCTTTTTATTATTGACTTCTCAATACATTTGCATTGTACGGTAACTTTTAATTAAATGACCTGTGATCACCAATTCGGATTACAATCGCGAACCCATAATCATGATATGATGTAACGCTTCGTTTCCCACAAAATTTTCTTCTCTAACATGGTCAAATTAATAAATTTTAAAGTAACTTGTAATTTTTTTAAAAAAAACAGTTTATTTTTAAACTACAGGGTGCTCTGATTGCATTGATATTTTTTTGCATGAAATTAAAAACATCACATGGTCATATATAAATTCGACAAATCGCTAATTTTTAAGCCAATTTTTAAATTAAAAATCATATGACACATATAAATTACTACATACCTGGTTTTTTAGACGATCCCAAATTGAATAATGTCACTCATGTACTGCTACACAGCACATGGAAATGACATTAAACTCCTTGTGTTAAAATATAGTATTTCGGACAGGCAATAAGGGCGAAAAGATATGATTTTTACCCAGTAGTATTGTTATTAATTGGAGCATTGGAAGTACGTACGTACGTACTATTAGAAGAATTGGATGCGATTCTCTAAAAATAAGATCTCCAGGTCAGGTGTAACGTGAAAAATCATGACTCATGATCAAATTAAGCTATTTTACAAATTTTGATTAGAGCCAATTTTTGGGTGTTTTTTTTTTGTTATCTTATTTCTTTTTTACTATCACCCTTCTTTAGCCTTAATCTAAAATTTGAATTCTGAAAGTTTTCCCAATTAATATTAAATTGGAGTAAACTATCATTTGAATTCAAGTTACACTGGGCCTTACATTCTGGCTTGTGATGCAGCTTTGTTTATGTTTCTTATCTACATATATAGTTTGTTTACAATGTATTGTTACACTCGAAATCGACCTCTTGAAATGATTCCGGGAACTTGATAGTTAGTCTGTCACAGACTATTAAATTATGATTTGGCGAGGCAAGGGAAGCATCAACAGACGACTTAACAAAGAGGTTTATTAAGGCTTTATCGAAAGAGGCTAACAACCAAACGTATATAAAAATACGTAGGGCTGGAATTACTTGAGGAATCACGAGTCACACGTGATGAATTAAACAACTGGGAGTCATGAGTCACACATGAACATGGGCTTTATCAATTTTACGTGTATGAAGACACGAAGTATATGGGTTATTAATAACACAAAGATAACTGTATGAAGACAGTTATGAAATACAATGGAGAATTCGAACTAGGCTATTAAGGGAACTATATATATGGCGATATATAATTATTAAAGGGATGTCGAAGACTGAAGAGCTAACTAGGCTAATTCGCGTCCTTTATATAACAAACGCGACTACATAATTAATTTACAATAGATAAATTAAAATGTTGTCTATTGCTATCTAATGATCTATGAATCATCCCACTATTCTTATCAACACCAATCCCTTCACTATTTCATGCTTAAGCTTCATGTCTTTATCTTTAATGGGCTTCTACCCTGGCTTGATCTGTCACGATCTTGATAATAATTTCGTGGGTAGCCCTTAAACTTATTCCTTTCTTGCTTATCCGCATGGATGGCACGAGCAGGATAGAACTTTTCGTTTTAATAGCAGCGGCAATAAGGCCAGTTGGGGTTAGGATCATCGACACAATAATGAATAGACCCTTTTAGGGACTACCATTGATGTCGCTAGTGATTGGCGCCGTAATCATGTGATGCTAATTGTCACATGGTAAAATATATAAAAATTAACAATCTAATTGTTAATTTTTATATATTGTATCATGTGACAATTAGCATCACATAATTACGACGCCAACACTAGATGTCGCGGCATGTGTTGTCCCTATGCTACACATCACCAATATCAGGACCAATATGGTAACTAAAAGTGCTGTATATGGTTTAACAATTTGGGAAAAAGGGTGCTTTGTATGATAGTACAGATATGGGGTCAATACGAATATTAGTAGGGCGATTATCCTTCGATCATTAACAATCAACAGTTTGGGAGTTCAAGAAGATCATTGCTGCGGCAGTTATACGCCACGCCAATCAAGTTCTTCTTCAAGTTATTGGCACGTGCAGCATTACTGTGATAAGAACAGGAGTAAATTCGCAGTATCCCTGAATATCCCGGGGTAGTACGTGAAACGGTCCTAGGGATATCGGGAGACAATTTCCAGGTAACATTTACTCCCTCCTTTAATCATGAGCTCCTGCAAATGAGCGGTAGGGGTTCACAGAATTTCTGAATTCGGACCTCTTATTGCTTTCCTTTCTGTGCCTTTCTTAAATGGTTGGTGGCGGTAATATTTACCAACCATAAACGTTCCATTGACATCATCAATGAATACCCATTATGATCTGTTAGGTCGATCATAATACATACACTCCATTGTTGATATTCATAGTCTCTCATAATACCTTTTCAACAACAAGGCGATGTGAGGAGTATCTAAGGGACGTCCTTCCATTGTTTTCAACTTATAGACGTCTTGCGCAACCCTTTGAGCAATTATAAAAAGACCCAACCATCGAGGTAGAAATTTTCCCAAATGGCTGTTAGCTTTTGCAGCGTCATATAACAACACTTTATCACTCTTATTAAAAACCCTCATCACTTTCTTTAATTTTCTGTCCCAACGCTTCAAGTTGTTGGCACGTGCAGCATTGCTGTGATAAGGACAGAGGTAAATTCGCAGTATCCCTGAATATCCCGGGGTAGTACGTGAAACGGTCCTAGGGATATCAGGAGACAATTTCCAGATAACAGTATAACTCTGTTCATGTTGTAAAATTTTTTTAATTCATAAAATTTTCGAAAAAATTTTTTCTTGATACGGTAATTATATATTTTTTTCATTTAATAGTGTTGGCATTACTTACAAAGTTATTATATGTATTAGTCACGAGGAAAAGCTGCTCATGAGGAAAATGAGGGAACTGAAACACCGAGAATGCCTGCAATGCCAATGCCTGTTTTTTTTTTTTGTACATTTACAAATTTTTTTAGAAAAAATTTACTCACACATTCAGTTTTTTTTTTTTCTTCCTTCAACATTTTTAATATGGAAGATTTAAAGTACCCAAAATATTGGAGAAGACCTGTTATGAACTGGAGTACAAATAGCAGGGAAACCTTTTATATAAAACTTGCACCAACTCATCAAGAAGAGAAATCCGGAGCTCTTTGATGAGTAAAACTGAAATTATTATGAATAATTTCAGCCATAGAACTACCTAATACCAAAAGGAGCAGATATTACAAAATCAGCTAAAGGTTAGTGTTTAATTTTTAATGAAAGGATTAAGAATGCTATGCGTTGATTTTGTGTTTATGGATTTATAAAGATGCTTGCTTAGTTATATGATTTTTACTTTTACATCAATAATGAATACACCTTGTTATATACCTTTCTTACTAAAACCTATTATAAACTATAATAGAACTCCCGAAAAGAGGGGAAACGAAAACAAGGATGCTCCCTGCACCAAGAAAAAGGTGTCAACAATATCCCCATTCTCTTCATACTGCAGGCTTAAGAAAGTTTTGGGATGTACGAAATTAATGAAAGCAAATTAAATGACATTCCTCAGGTCAATGAATACCTTTCGAGTGGTTTGCAATCTAGAACCAAAACTGCTTAGAGAAACTAAATTCTTCTTAACATATATAATAATAAGATTATCACTGTATTTTTCGATCAGAATATCTACGTATAATTCATGCACCTGATTGAAATACATATAACGAATACAATAATAAAAATGATATAATAAAATATTATTTGTGATTCTTTCGTTTTCTTTAAATTATATAGTTCGTATTGTGTTAAACATTTATGGAGATTCATTTGTTTGTTTGTTTTTTCACAACGGATTTTTAATAAACGATAAAATGCCGGTCATTAATACTGATAATGTTTTTTCTATATCACGAATAATTTACTATGGAATATCAAACCTTATTTTTATTTTTCATCAAGTTAAAAAATTAAATTAAATGTTAATATATTTTAGATACGATTTGAAATTAAAATACTTATGAAATATTGTGCAAGCTAAATAATTGCAATATTAGCAAAAGCCATTTGAAAATATTATAAATTTCACGATGAATAACAAAATCCAAATATATTAGACACTCAGCTTCGATTATTCAATGATCACTCAAATTCTACGTAAATTAATTATTAATAGCAGTCTAACATTTCCTAAAAATTGGTAATTTGATAGATAACGGAAGGATTAATACTTGGAAGTTTTTTTTTCATAGTCATCACGCAGTTGTTTTTACATAGAGTTACGTAGAATTTTTATGTAGAGTTATGTAAAATTTTTATGTAGCATTATGAACCCAATGTAGATTTACATAGATATTTATATAAATCTATGTATAAATCTATGTAGAGTTATGTAAAATTTC